ATAATAGCTTAATATATCAAGAGGTAGTTAAATATTGTTTTCAAGGTAAAATACGTTAAGGAGAGTGAGGAGCACTAAAAAAGATATTGATTTCATTGTACTGAATATAATTGTAGTTGGACCATTAGCTGACAGAATTGTGTGCTTGCTAGGAGGAGATAAAGATATGACATATGCCCACAAAAGTGAAGGCTGGAAGATGAATAGGCCTTCTAGGGAGTTGATCTTTACAGATCAGATAACGATTCTTCAGGTCTCTTTCTTGCCGTCTGTGCTACATCAAAGGCTGTCTTTCAGATAGCAACGTGCACTTGGAATCTGGGGACAAGACCTTTGAAAATGAACAGTTTTGAGATTGACAGGCAGCTGGGCTTTGGCGGTTTTTTGTGAAGTTTTTTTTGTTTTGGTTTGGTTTCCTTTTGTTCTGTATAATCTTTTGTAATCCCTTTCAAAATTAAAGAAAAGTTCATAGGAAGATAGAGTAAATAACACTTGCATCTTTTTTTATCTGTTTCCCAATAGCTGTTTGCTTTAAAGGTAACAAATCTCTTTGAAAGATTTAAGGAAATGCTAGTGGCAGGTTATTCTGGACTAGGAGTTACTGGTTACTCTTACTTGGAGTCCCGGTGGACAGCAGGCTGACCATGAGGCAGCAATGTGCTCTCACAGGGCACATTGGGGCAATGGTCACAAACTAGTACATAGGAGATTCAACTTAAACGTAAGGAAAAGCTTTACTTGAGGGTGACATAGCACTGGACCAGGCTGCTCAGAGAGGTTGTGGAGTCTCCTTCTCTGGAGACATTCAAAACCCGCCTGGATGTTTTCCTGTGTGATCTTCTCTAGGTGATCCTGCTCTGGCAGGGGGGTTGGACTGGATGATCTTTCGAGGTCCCTTCCAACTCCTGGGATTCTGTGATTCTGGGATTCTGGGATTCTGTGATCTTCAGTAGTACCTTCCAGCCCCTACCATTCTGTGATTCTGTGTGATTCTGTGGTTCTGTGGCTTCTTTCAAGGACTGATTGAAAGTACTTATTTGTGGGCAGTGGCCGTCTTTCGAGAGATAATTGTTCTTTTTTATTATTTTTATTATTTTTTATTATTTTTTATCAATTAAGTACTCTGAAAGTTTCTGAAGATAATCCACTCTGTACAATAGATATTTAGGAAAAAGCAAGGCAGCAAGGAGTTCTCATTAATAAAAAAAAAAAATAGAAAAAAGAAAGGAAAAAAAGTAGAAATAATTGTTTAATCTATGAACATGTATTAAAGAAATCCTTGTTTAACCACAGTGTTTTCAAGCACCTTAAATTTGACATCAGCTACAGTGCTAATCACACTGGCTATACCTAGCCCTTTTTAATCGTTTAGAAGGACCATCTCACAGCTGTCGGGCATCCTCCAAAAGCACAGTAGTAGATGCTACAGCATACTGTTATCTTTTGCAGCCCTCTCTTCATGGTCATGGATTCTATATTTGTGTACTACTTCAGAGTAATTTGAGTATCAAATGTTTCTGTTATGTGTTAGATTTGTTAATTTTCTCCTTTCTAGTGGTGTTTGGCTTTTTGTCCTCTCTGTCAAAAAAGAGGTTAAATAGAGCTTCATTCAAGACCTGAAAACATCTCACAGCTTTCATCTTCACAGCATACATACAGAGGCATGGAATAAGAAGTTATTAAATCTCAATATGCAGAAATATTGTTTTGCATGTTTTTTTAGAACCTTTTCTACTTATTTTCTTACATGTGAAAATATGAATCTCAACGTTTTAGTATTTGTTAGAGAAACCTGTCGGGACCTGCAGTGGGCCATGGTGTTAAAGGAGGTGTTACCTTATTAAACCCTTATTGTAATGAGAGGGAAAAAGGGAAGTGTCGGCTGTCAGCCTGCTGTTGTGTTCCTCCTCTGCTGGCATTCTCCAGAGACTCTTCCATCAAAACAGGGAAGGCAAGATCTGACATTTGCATACCTCAAAAGGAAGCAGGCTTGATTTCTTTGAGGGAGATGAAAAATTAGTCTCTCCTTGTGTCACCATAAAGGGCATAGGTAACTTGAGTTTGCTTCACAGTCGAGCAATTTGTGACCCAGGAGTGTCAACTTCTTTCTCTTGCTTTTAACAAAGCACTCACTGTGGGTGGGTGAATGTCTCAGTCATTAGACTCCAGTAACATTTCTCATTGCATAGAAATGAAGAACTTCCCAGAACACCTTAGCTTCATGAAATATTTATCTTTTTTTTTTTTGTAATTTATTTTGAATACTCTTCCCTTATCTTTCCTAAAAGTATCAAAGGTATTACACAGGAGAGAATTATTCTGGTTTTTGCATGCACAGACTTCATGTTAGTTAACCAATATCTTTTTTTAAAAAAACACCTGCTTCTTGGGAATGAAGTCCTTGCATGATCTGTCCTTGTGATAGTCTGTACATAAAAGTTGGCAAAGTCTTCTGCTGGAGGTGTGCTGGGTAATCAGGGCCTTGGCTAATAGTCATGTATGGGCTTTGGTTTGTTTGAGTCAAGAAACACCACTGTTTTCTCCTTGTTCGTCACTGTAACTGATTGCTTGCATGTTTATATGACTTTGTTACTTTTAGCAACCTTTAACCTTATACTCTGTATGCATACTTTAAGTGAAAACTTCTCATTTTAGAAGCTAATTTGAGTTATAAAGAGCTGTTGAAATTGTGTGTAGTGTTATTTTAGACAGTTAGAATGGGTTTGAATTTAAACCTGACTGAAAAATTCTTTAAGGAGAAGAATTTGATGGGGAGTATTCTTTTTCTTCTCTGCTTGAGATCGCCCCCCCTAGAAAAGCCCAACCAACAAAAACCTTTTACATTTTTAATTTGCTTTTATCATTTTTGCTTTTTAGTACAGATTAGCTGAAGAATCTACCAACTTTTCATGAAGCTGATTTCAAGTGTCCCTGCCACACTTTCCATGTGAAATTCATAGTAATGTTAATGTTTGGTATATATTTCTCTTCATAATCCATTTATCAGTTTGGATATTTCAGTTCTACTGTTGTAGAAAGCAAGTGCAGTTCACCAGGTACCTTAAGGTAACAAAGCAGATTGAGGGAAATCTGAGGGCAGTGTTAACTGCCGCTATTTACATGTGTAGTAAGTGCCTTATCTTGCTTGGCTGCAATCTGGTGATACATGGCTTAATCAGCTTGAACTCATAAGAGGACAGGCCAAATTTAGATGCAGAACTGACTGTAGTGAGTGAAATTAGATGGATAAAATTGTTCTACTATATTCCCAGAAAACTGAAAATACTTCAGGTATCTGAGGTGTTTATCCAGTGTGGTCAAGGGATAGTTGTACTGTGCTTATTCTCAGTGTAATGCATCAAATTGCATTACAGTTTTTCTTGTGTAAATGCGGTACTGGCTACTCTGGAGAGTATCTTCAGTTAGCAATGCATGTGAGACGCCAGTAACTTTCTATTAGCTAAGAATCATTTGCATTGATAACAAAACAATTGAGTGGGGACATTATTTTTTGGCAGCAAACAGATTTGTTGGATTTTTTTGTTTATATAGAATGGCTGCAGATGAAAAAGAAAGGAAAATGTCTTAAGTTTTACTTTATGCAGTTTGTTAAGTTGTTAGAGGGGAGAGAGGGACTGCCTGCATGAGATCAGATTTCTTAGCAGTTACTATCGTGCATGGGGCTGAGGTGACATTCTGGCACCAGCATCTCTGTGATTGCAGCTCACATGAACTTTCTGATCATATTCCTTTTGGTTTTTAGCAAGAACTGACAGTTGGCTGAACTGGAAATGTGACTTAGACCACCAGTTCATTTTGTGTAGGAATTGGTCTGAATATTAGAAGGATCGTCAGGCTTACTGTGCACATATTGTTACACATTAAAGTGTTTTCATCCCTAGTAATCTGTGGATACAGCTGTGCTAGTTCTGCTAAAAAGGGACTAAGACTCCCCAGAAATGGTTGCTAAAATTTTAATTGGGCTATAAAACATTGTAGTAAGTCTCTCTAATAAAATAATGTTCTAAGTCTCAAAGCAAGTCCTTCAACAATTAGGACATGGCTGAGTCCACATGAACTGTGTTCACATCAGGTAGCTGCTTCTTCAGAGCGAGTTTGCTTGCTTTCAGGATGGGTGCCTGCCCCCAGGGCTGCTGGCACTGGGGATCCTCTGTGCAGCTCAACTGGAGAACACACATAAGGCTTAGTAACCTTTATATGCAAAACTGTGGTAAACTTCTCATAAGCACGTACAAACCATTATTTTTCAAAGGGTTTTGTTTTTGTATGAAGAGGGACATGTCACCAACACAGTGAATGTGTCTGTGCAAGAGATTGATTTGAAAGAGCATCTTCTGATCATTCCTGTGCACTGTGCTCTTCTTCCTGTGGGACTAAGTGGGCTAACTGGATTTCTTTCAAATTAATTTAAATGGGAAAAAATGCCCTGTTACTCTCTAACTGCTAATGTGTATTCAGTCCGTGGGACCAGACTGCAGCTAGTCTAAATTACTGAGCTTTTAGGAGTCCCTAATAATCGCAGGGGATGTCAGTACTTCCTGTAATTGAAGAAAAGTAATTTAATGGAGAAATAAATGCCCATAGTACAGTGGCATAAGATTCTAATAAATATTTGTCTTTGGATGGTAGACAAAATTAATGTATGTAAAGCAAGGTGGTGTCTGCAAGGACAAAGTATTTTCAGAAGGATATTGATGGATTGTTGGATTTTGAACCAAACGAGAACTTCTTCAATGACATTGGAATTAGCGTTAAGGTTTTAGTGCATGATTATAGTACTTAAATAAACAAATAACATAGCATTTTTGAAATGAGATGGTGCATCTTTATTCGATTACACATAATTTTCAAATAAATGCAAAAGAAGCATATACAGGAAATTGTATAGAGAAACATGTGTATGCAGAAATTAAAAATGAAATATTTTATTATGTGAGAATCAGTAAAGGCTAAGATGTATGTCCTCTCTTTATCTTCAGCGCCTCGCTAAAGAAGCAGAGAGGTACCAATCATCACATCAGTGGAGAGATGAGTTTGGGGTAAGTTTCCGTTTTTCTTCTTTTAACCCTCTCAGTTTTTTCCTCTTTATAGTGTTAATGATATTCTTACAAACATGTTGTTTATATATCCACCACAGAAAGAGTCATTGACTACGAACGGGCATTTTATTTTATTCAGTAAACAGAGTGTCAGTCTGGGTGTCTAGAGAATAAAGTGGATCTTTCACTTCAGGAGCTCATCGGGAGCTTCACAGACCCAGGGATGCAGCTCTGAGGTGTACACAAGAAGACATCTGTTTGATTTGACATACAAGGAATGATTAGAAAGACATCTGAGTGGTTGTTACTGTCAGTAAAAAGTGTGCTACTCCAAGCACTGAAACACAGAATCTTAGAAAATATTTTTACAAGTTGTTTTTTCCTTATGTGGTGGAAAAACAAAGCAGGAAAAAGCTTAATAGAGAAGGATTTGGTTATCTACATGACTGTCCGCACTGGGAGTCATAGACTATTTTTTAAGAATGCTTTTCCATACTTCAATAACTGCATCTCTTTTCTTCAATAATCTAGTACTACTGAAAGAGACCATAACCTGATCAAACACTAAACTCTCCTATTCAATCATTTCAGACTTTACTGAAAAACAAGTGAGATTACTGTAAAATCTGCAAGATTAATTCTTTACTACGAATCAAGCCAAATTAATATTGTGCTGAATGATTATAAGCCTGTTAATTTGAGGCTACAGTTCCCTGCTAAATGTCAAAGTCATTTATTATGCCTTCCTTACCTGTTTCCTCAGAAATAAAAGCAGATGGTGCTTTTACGTGATGCTTCTGCAAGCCTAGACTGTGTTTACACATCCCCTAGCATCACAGTGGCACAAAGTTACATGTGCAATGGTTTTCTATAATGGCCTTTCTGATCCAGTGTTCCTCAGACACTTGAACTGGAGATCTGAAAATAAACAGACAGAAAAAACCCCTAAGGTAAGGCCAAATAATTTAAGTAAGAGTAACTGGCTTTTAGGAGTGCAGAGAGGGTCTGGACACAGCCTTGAATGCTTGTAAGGGTGCTCTCTGCACAGGCCCAGCTTCTAATTTGCAGTAAAACACAGAATGTACATTCCATAGGGATGCAATAAGGAGAACGCTGCAGCAACCTTTTCTGCTAATCTGTGTTTTGAATACAAAACCAAGCCTACAAGTTTGATGGGCTCAGTGCAGAATGTGTGAATAGTCAGATGCTCTTTCTAATCATTTTGCATCTTACTGTACACTCTGGCATCACATCAGTAACACTCATCCAGCTTTTGGTTTTCTTTTTACCCCTTATTGCAGTTGAAGTCAGTCATACCAGAGAGTCTTCTGGTATTATCAGAATTCGTTGCCAAGGAGAGAGCTTGAATTAGTTTTGAAATGTGATTTTATATTAGTGCTGTGGCTCAGTCAAAGACTGTGGTCAGAATAAAATAAAAAAATTGCAGTTGAATTTATAATAAAGTGACTGCAAACTGAGCTGCTGCTTCACTGTTTTGAATTTGAACAGTGTGTACCATATAATAACCTTGACATTAGGTTATGCAATTAAATTTCAAATAAATGTATTAAGCTTCTTCTAATTTAATTTGTTCCTTTTTTTGCCAGAAGTAATCTTTCTTCTCTTCTGGCCTACTTTTTAGAAAATGCCTGCTCAAATTAGTTTGCACACAGATCTTTCTGATAAACTTAATTTTCCCTGGAAGATTCATTTTCCTAATGGCTGTGATGGAAAACAGAAGATAATACTGTAACACTTTCTGTGCATGAGGGTTCTTAAAGTACTTCTGATAGCGTTATGAATGGTCTTCATCATTCTGTACAAGGTTTATTTCTTGTCCAGGATTTGGTTTTGGGTGGTGAAAACCCTTCGAACAGCATTGCACATGAGTCGCTGTAGAAACTCTTTGGGCCAGACTGTTTCTGCTGCTCATGAGCTCACAGTCAGTAATGTCCTTGACAATCAGATAGCAATCGAATAATAACCCCTGGGGTTTTAGGGAGAAAGTATCACAAACATTCCTTTTGGTGAAGTATATATTGGCATATTCTGAATGTGTTTATACACACATGTAAGCACTGCAGTAAAAGAAGCATCTAAGCATTAATGATTTAATTTTGCAGGTAAATATCACAGTATAATAAAAACTCAGTAGCCCCAGATAAGTTCTTTTGAAAATAGCTAGTACCAAGGAAAATCTTTGAAGATTCATATTTGTCCCACAGTCTCTTTTTTATTTCAGTTAATTATTTCGTATAAAAACTGTGAGAATGGTCTAAAGCAGAAAATTTGCTTGCCTTTTGGAAAGAAAGTTGGGACTACAATACTGATAAAAATACAGATCCACATCTGCTAGAACTCCTTCTCCTTCTAATTGTAGTTGAATGAGAGTAGAATTTCTTCTAATATTTCCAGTATATTAACTTCAAGCTGATATTTCAAGAAGGCCAAGCAAAGAAAAGCAAAAATGAAAATTTAAGTTTTGGCTTTTTGATAAATCAAGAAATAGCTAAAGGGACCTTTACCAAAGTTAAAGAATTTTGTTTTATTTTGTTTTGTTTTATCTGAAATGGTCTGTTCCTGATCACCAAAACAAAAATTAGCCATGAACTTAAAAATGTCAAATTTGTGTAAATTTGAACCTGGGAAGCTGTGACCCAGCAACTTATTGAGTATCAAATATCTGGTGCTAGCTAAAATATTTTCGTATTCCTATCTTTCTGTAACTTTGTGCAGCTTTCCAAATATACAGGTTGACAGTGAGGCCATGTGTATTAGTTTTATTAATAAATGAACACTTGTCAGGCATATATTGAATGTCTTGAGAGCAAAAATAAAAATCTAAGAGGAGTAAAGAGCATGCATCTTACATATTTATCTTTAGTTTTTAGGTAAGTGAAACTAGAGATCGTAATGGATTTTGGTATTTTGTATTGACAATTAAATATCAAAATAATTTGGCAATTGCTAATTAATTTACTAATGTTTCAAAATTGTTCAAAGGAATAGTAATTTAGAATAATGATTAAGAATACTGAATGTCTTCTGAATAAAAATGTTTCTTTTCATTCTAACATGTTGTTTCCTGATTAAGCACAAAGTCAGTTAAAATATCTCAACTTCTATTAAGACTTTAGAGAATATTTTCAAAGTTTATGAAGGCAAATCCAAAGTGCTTAGCTTCAGGCGAGTAAAGAAATGCCATTCTCTGCTTCCTACTCCATCAGCATTGCCTAATTCCCTGGCTGCATGTACAGCTGGAGAAATAAAAGCTGCTTAAATGTTTTTAGATTAATGTAGTTACAAATCAGAGGTACAAACTATTATTTCTAAATGAAACAGCCTTGTCAATTTGAATTTTCCCATATGCTGCAGAATGAAAGGGGGGTGGTTTTGACACTTGTGATGGTCCAATTACTTTTCTGGCATAGAGATGCATGAAAAGAATTGTGCATGAATTGGAAGGAGGGGAGAATTCTGTATGAAATAATTGCTGCTATTCCCCAAATGGATCTTCTACAATTACGTTTGATACCCCATTTGATTGCTTTGCAATGGTTGGTTAACTGAAGCAATTTTGTTTCCAGTTGGGTTACAATATTAATTGTACTTACACATGTATAAACATAAGGGATATCTCATTTGTATTTTAACAAGGGGACTCTTTATGGATGGCCTATTAGCATCCACTTATTTATACGAAGACTGAAACTCAGACTTTTAGGAATTAATTATCACATTAAGATGCCACATATAAAATCCTTTGAATATGTCTTATCTTTTAACCAATAGTGACATTTTTTCACTAGGCCAGGTTGGATAGGGCTTTAGCAACCTGGTCTAGTGGAACCCCCTAATGGCAGGGCAGTGGAACAGCTCATCTTTAAGGTCTCTTCCAACCCAAACCATTCTATGATTCTATGATTTTATATTATATACATTATATATTATATTTATTATATCTGTGTAAATGATGATTTACTGAATCCTGGTATTTCTGAGACAGCGTTTGCTGTGATAATAATGTGCAGGTTAATGATGATAACCAACCAAGCTTAAAAGTAAAGACAGAAGGTCTTTACTAAATTTTACTCTGGAATGACGATTTTTATTCCTAGTACAAATTTTGGCTGCAAAGAACTGTAGTGAAATTTTTCCAGCACAGAAACAAAAAATAAAAAGAATGAATAACAAGTCTCCCATCACAAGAATTGATCCAAGACATGACTTGCAAGTGCAGAGCAGTAGTAGACATCTCTCTTTGTGTCCAATTGCGTCCAATTCTGGGCTCCCCAGTTCGAGAAGGACAAGGAATTACTGGAGAGAGTCCAGAGTAGAGCCACTAAGATGATGAGGGGATTGGGCCATCTCCCATATGAGGAAAGACTGAGGGAGCTGGGTCTGTTTAGCGTGGGGAAGATGAGACTGAGGAGGGATCTCACTGATGCTTATAAATAAGGGGCAGGTGTCAGGAGGATGGGACCAGACTCTTCTCAGTTGTGCCCAGCAATAGGACAAGAGGCAGTGGTCACAAACTAGAACACTAGAGGTTCAACTTAAACAAAAGGAAAAACTTTACTTGAGGGTACCAAACCACTGGAACAGGCTGCCCAGAGAGGTTGTGCAGTCTCCTCTGGATATGTTCAAAATGTGCCTGGACGAGTTCACTCATCTTCTCTGGGTGATCCTGCTCTGGCAGGGGGGTTGGACTGGATGATCTTCAGTGGTCCCTTCCAACCCCTACCATTCTGTGATTCTGTGATTCTTTACTTGACCTCTCCAGAACATGGAAGATTTTTAGTTTTCAAGACTGTAATTTATTGTGGATGTTACAACACTAAAACATTGCATCTTAAAGCCTCAGCTGGAAAACAAAGAAATAAACTAACCACAGAACTTTCAGCTTTAACACTGCTTCATTCTAAAGAAGCAGTTTAGGAAACATAACTTGGTCTTTTGAAAGAAGGAAAAACTCTGTGAAGAAAGTTAACTATAAGATT